TCCTCACATAAACTATTTGTAAAGCATAAAAATTATGTCTTAGACTAAGTGCATGAGCAAACATTATTTTAAAATCTATATGTAGCTAGTTGCAAAGTAATTTGTCTTCTTTTATAACATTGTCCAATAGATGGCAGCATGACGATGAAAATTCGATCTTTTCTCTCTCAATTTTAATCATGACTGAGGCACATTTGAAATAATGCCGCATCACATTCTTTGAAAATTGAAATTTCATACTATTTTATCAGAGAGTAAATATATTGCATTAAATAAAATGGATCAAAGATTTCTATATTGTGTATGAATAATGAAACAATTATTTTTTTTTTAATCAGAAAACAGAGTTTTGTCTTTCCTATGATTATAAATGTATCGAAAAATCTAACCATAATCAAAATTAATAATTGGAAATTCAAGGCTAAGAACAGGAAGATAGGAAACAATATTGTGCAGCAAGCCAAGCTTCACTGAGGACTGCAGTGACATAAAAAATGAAAGATGTTAATAAATAATCAAAGAAACTAACTACTTCCTTTTAAAAATTATTTGAGCAAAGTTAAATTTAAAAAAAAATGCAAAAAAAAAAAACACATGCTTTTTTTAAAAATTTAATTTTTAAAAAAGTTTCTAAAAGGAGTTTGTGGGGTGACTATCCGAGTATAGAATGATTAGTGTAAAGTTTTTTTTAAAATTTTATTTTATTATTTTTATTTATGAAATGGAGACATCTGCATATAGTGAACCTTGTAATTAACTAATTTTTCATTTGTTTTGCTTAAACTTTCAGTAGTCTTCATACAAAATTTTAAAATTATTCTAATAAAATGACGTACATTAAATGAAAAATAGTTTAATTAAAAGAAATAGTTTAATGTTTAATCATTCGATAACTATAAACGTAGTCAGTGACCGCGAAGGTATCTTAAGAGTAAGGGAAGGGGACTCTCCTTATGCGTAATTAAAAAATGATAAGTAAGGGGTTTTCTACAAATATCATTTTGTATCACAAGACAAAATTAAGTAACGAACTTTACAATAAACGTTCATACACTGAAATACGATTATAAAAGGAAAGAAAACATGCGAGAGAAGAAAGAAAATATACTTTTATGGGGATAATCCTCAAAAATACAGATGTCATTTTTAATAAATCTTGTTTATCCCAAAATAAAAAATCTGTGGAAAACCCTTTATCATTTTGAGCATTTTTTTAAAAAAGTACAAAAACTACTTGGAAATTTGATTGAATTTTTAAAATTTTTAAGATATTAAAATCGAACTTTTTTTATTAGTTGCCAAATACGATTCACTACAAAATTAACGAAATTTTTTTTAAAAGTTTTTGCTTGTGCAATTTAAAATAGCTACTTTTATTACTCATATCTTGCTCAGATTTAAGCAAATTTCTCTTAAAACTTTAAAGCATTAATCTTGGAGTCAATTTTAAATTACTCCAAAAATTTTGTTTAATTTTATTGAATATTTTTTAAACTTATTGCAAAAATAAAATGTTAGACAAGGAAAATTAGTTTTTTTTCCATCATAAAAATGTTCACATCTTCATAAATATTTAATCTAGGTTTGCGAAATTTTGTGCAATCATTGCATATAATAGCCAAGTTAATTTATACAAATTACAAATTTATTTGCTACATTTTTTGTCATAGGGTTATAAACGAAAAATGTTTTCCGTTAGTAATTTACTGTCTGTCCCTCAAACCTCTAAAAGCTTTTAACTTTATTGATAAATTTGAGAAGTAGCATAACCTAAATATTAAAAAATTTATAAAATGATTCTCACAGTATTCTTTGAGAAATATCAGAAAATGTGTAGCGTTTCCACGAATTTGATATATATATACAGTTGGACCTCCCTTTAACGAAGTCGCTAAATCCCGATAATAAGTTCGTTATATGGAAAATTCGTTAAATAGAGAATCACCTTTTGAAATACTTAGACAACACAAAACAAGCTATAAATTCTTAAACGCTAGGCATAATTAAAATAACAATCGATACACCTTTATCTTGTTAACTAGTTTCTACTATTTATTTTATAGATTTTAACCATAAAAGAAATCTGCATGGAAAGCCAGAATCGAGGAAAACATTTACCAGTGTTACACTATCATGCTACATACATTTTCAACAAAAAAAAAGAAGCTGAATTTATGTATAAAACTACAGCTGCATATATCATAAAAGTAATTCTATACATGCATTACTACATTCGTTCTTAAGTTTAATTGCTACTGATAAAATCTGTTAATTTTGTCTGAGTTTTTCGTTTGGACTGCAAAAAGAAAAAGAGATTTTACTGCTCTCTCTAAAAGTTAAGTGACTTGGAAAATCAATTCAAGGTCATTTCCCCCATACAATGCGTTAACAAGTCTGAAATATGTTGGGAAAGAGGGAAAGTGATGTATATATATATATAACACTTGGGCTTAAAAGTTCGTAGGCTGACACATAGATGGGGCTACTATTATTGAATACATATGATTTTTAGCTAGTTCTAGCTTTTGAAAGACACGTGTATAAATTTAACAGCTGTCGGACTATTAGTTTGTGAGATATAGTATTTTTAGTGAAGCAACTTTTGTTAGTTTAAAAACAATGGATAAAAAGGGATTTCGTGTGTTTTTAAAGCATTGCTTTTTAGTGAAAAAAATACTCTTGAAGCCAAGTCTTGGCTTGGGAAACATTATTCGGACTCTGTACCAGGAAAATCAACCATTGAGAAGTGGTTTGCTAAGTTTAAACGAGGCGAAATGAGCACCGACGACGATGCACACAGTAGTCGCCCCAAAGATGCTGTTACCGACGAAAACATCAAAAAAGTCCACAAAATAATTTTAGATTACCTTAAAGTAAAGTGAAGTGGATCAAAATATCTGAGACTCTAGAGATATCAAAGGAACGTGTTGAACATTTGAATGAATATTTGGGTATGCGAAAGCTCTAGGCAAAGTGGGTGCCGCACAAGCTCCCACTTGGACAAAAACAATAACGAATTGATGATTCTGAGCTGTGTTTGAAGCTGTTTAATCATAATAAACCCGAATTTATGCATCAATATGGGACAATGGGTGAAACATGGCTCCATAATTTAACACCGAAGTCCAACCAACCGTCAGCCGAGTGAACTGCACGAGACGAACCAACTCCAAAGCGTGGAAAGGAGCAACAGTCAGCTGGCAAAGTTATGGCGTCAGTATTTTGGGATGCTCATGGTATAATATTCATTGACTATCTTGAAAAGGGAAAAACCATCAACAGCGACTATTACATAGCGTTATTGGAGCGTTTGAACTACGAAATCGCAGAAAAACGGCCCCATTTGAAGAAGAAGAAAGTGCTGTTTCATCAAGACAATGCACCGTGTCACAAGTCAATGAAAACGATGGCAAAATTATATGAATTGGTCTTCGAATTGCTTCCGCATCCACCGTATTCTCCAGATCTGGTCCCCAGCGACTTTTTTCTGTTCTCAGACCTCAAGAGAATGCTTGCTGGAAAGAAATTTGGCGCCGATGAAGAAGTAATCACCGAAACAAAGGCCTATTTTGAGGCTAAAGAAAAATCGTACTATGAAAATGGTATCGAAAAATTATATGACCGCTATAATCGTTGTATCGCCCTTGAAGGATACTATAGTGAATAATAAAATGGAATTTTATCACAAAAACTTTTTTTTATGTTAGTCTACGACCTTTTCAACCCAACTGTGATATATATATATATATATTAACCTCACAAAATGGCAATCAAGAATTCGAACGAGCAGTATTAATTCGAACTTTTTATAATTAGAATAAAATTAATAAAAGAAGTTGATTGCTTGTAAATTATTTATTTCTAATTCAATGTATTTTTCTAATTCTATTTAACGGTTCTTTTTATTATTCTGTTCGCTGTGACATTTGAAACCAGCAATTTTCCCATCGGTCAGCAATAGAGACAGACTTTCCGAGGGGATGAGTAAGGGTAGCAATTTTCAGTAAGGAAGTGTTAAAGCTAGCTTGAAATAGAGAACTTTTTCTTTAAAAATTCAGACACAAATAAATTATCTATTTCTTTAATTATAAATTTAATTACACACATATTAAGTGAAAAATTGTAATCTCAGAAGAGGCTGTGCCCCTACATTTATAAAATGTGTGCCCATCTTCGTATCCAACTAATTTTAAACGTAAAAAAACGTAAAAGAGAGAAAAAAAAATACAAAAGCCTCCCATAGTTAGCCCGACGGTACAGGAACTTTAACCATACTGGTTGGGAATTGAATGTAGAGAGCTAACGAATAAGAAACACGTTTTCTAATAAAAAATTTGTTTAAGGTTTCTGATGGCTAATTTTATTCATACATGCTTCTTTTTATTTTAAGCGTAAATCAACTTATATTGAAAAAGTAATAAAATATTGCCTACAAAGTTTTTTGTTGAGTGATGTAAAAAAGGGCTATTTTTTTGTTTTTAAAATTGTATCTACTTTCAAAAAATTTATTTATCAATTTTAATCAAAACAATTATCGCGATTTTTATTTACTAAGATAAGTTATTATTACTAAACTAAACTAATTATAGCGTTAGAATAATTAATGAATCATTTGTCAGAAAGCATATTTGTTTGCAACTGCTGTCTATTTTACATCTTTGAAATGATAAGCCTACATACCCTCAAAATAAAAACACATTGCATTGTAAATGGTTTTAAGTTTATTGTAAAACTTAATATGGTTGTTTCCAATACTAATTAGTGTCATGCGGCACTGAACACTCGGTTAAATTGCACACTGTAAAAAATTAAAGGATCAAATTACGGTAAAAAGTACTTTGGGTGCCTCATCCGTTAAAGCCATATTCTCCATAAAATATTGTACCATAATTTTTCAGTATCATTCATTTAATTAGAGTGTTTCAGTAATTTTGGGGTAATTAATACAGTAAAAAATACGGTAAATCTGATTTTTTATTCTATAACATGTTCAGGTAAAAATGGATCTTACGGTAAGAAGTACTTAAACTCTGAGTACCGGTACTTTTTACCGTAATTTCATTCGGAATTTTTCACAGTGTACCCTACATCGGGTAATAGGATTCTTTTACCAGTTTCGGATAATCGGTTGATGAAAATATAGACCGGTGCTAGTGATGAGTGTTTAAATTTATGTAATGTGCTCTGGCATTTGATATTATTTACTTTATAGCTGAACTTCAGTTTCGGGTACTTAAAATTTTTTCTCATACAATATTAAAGACGTATTTTACATGTACTCTAAAATTTTAATCAGAAAAAAGTTGATTGAATAAACTTAAATAAATATTTGCTCGGAACGCAGTTTAATCCTTTGATGTTTAAGCTATAAATTCCCCCCTCCCCGTCAGCTAATGCGTGTATTTGACCATCCATAAAAGGTGAAAATCGTGTCGGTGAAGTTTTTGATTTTCGTGGTTGAATTTAAAAAACTTCTGTATTGTTTACAGAGTTTGAAGCAAATGAAGTCATTCATCATTTCTTGGCTGACATCTAGAAGCAAGTGATGATTGAGAAGTGTTTATTATACCATAAATCAAAACTTCTTTGCAAAGTGTTGAGATATCGGTAGAGGAGAAAGTGGTGCTGTATTTATTTTTCACTTTTTTTTCATATCAAGTTTGAAAATTTTATATAACTTAGAACAACGAGCTTTACTTTCCCAATATGAAAAAAAGAAGAGAAAAAAACTGAATTTTTCTAATGAAATCAAAGTGTGAGTATTTCTAAGAAATGTCGTATATTAGCAAGAACAGTTCAGACAGTTTTTTATGGCCTACTTTGAGGAATATTTTCATAATTTTTTAGTAAACATTTAACCACTGACGCAAGATGACTCAGTGGTTAAGGCAATGAACTATCAGTATGAAGAATTGGAGTAAGATCCCTAGTGGCGGTTTGAAGCCCACCCAGCTACAAATTACTGGGTACCAGCGTGTCAGTGAAGTAAAGGCGGCCTGTGCGTAATGCTGACCACATTGCCCCAAGCATGCTGTTGGTCATGAAATTGTGGGCCTTAACCTTCATGACCCCCGTGGCCCACAATGGACTGTTGAGGGAATCCTTCACTTTCTATATAATAATTAACAGTTCATAATGCATTTGCAATTTTTTTAAAAAATTTTTGTGACTATTTTCCACCATTGTACTAGATTCAGTTTAGAAAGTTTTCGTTTCTTTATTGTGTTTTTGGCAGTCAACTTTCAAAACATTTTTGAAAAAAATTGCTTGAATTTTACGTTTAAGTTTTATTTGATTAGTCTGTTTTATGTTAAGAGTTTTGGGGGAAAAATATAAAACAACAAGCCGTTAAAATAATCGCATATCTTCTTTTTTCTAGTTATTTTTGGTTAGTTGAAGGCTATAAAAGCAAATTTTTTGAAAAATAACAGACGAGAGGGAATTGAAGAATTTATATAAGTCAAAATGTCTCTATAGTCAAAATTAGAATTAGGTACTTAAGATATCTTTTTCAAGAAATAAATTCCTTTGAAAAAAAGAAATTTATTGCTCTATTTTCTTATAAACTTTAAAAAATTTCGAACATTTAACAAAAAAAAATTTCTGTACGGACACAAAATAAATTAGTTTTGTAAAAATCGAGAAGCTATGGACTATGGAGAGTCTGTTTAAACATATAGGGAGGATCAGGACAATTTTTGAATTCTTCATTTTTAACTATTTTGTGGTCATCATGATATCATTGCCTTTTTTATACATTTACCTACCATTCAGTGCAATTATTTCTCCAGAGTATAAGTATAGTAAGTAATAACTATAGTATTGTAAGTATAGTATATATAAAAGCATTGTAAGTGTAGTTTTTTACAGCAAATGTTTAAGTCTGATCATGTTCACTTAGAAAATGTGCCTAGTAAGTGGCGCAAGTGTTCTAGCTAACTAAAATTGCAGAAACGCAAATTTCTAACTACATTTTAAAATTTAAATAATATAATACAGGTTTGCTTAATCTGTAAGTATAAGTTCTTAAAAAACTAAAAAATACATTATAACTGAGTTGGCAAAATAATATGTAATAGAGCGAATGATAGAGAAAAAGAGTGAATATAGAAAACAAGTGTCAAAAAATGCGATCAAAATTACCCGAATATGGTAAAATTTACCGTATTTTTTGACTCTATGGGTCACCAGAAAGCTCAGGTTTATAATAAGTGATAAAATTTTATAATTTTATCACGATATCTTAGAGTTCGGCTTAAAAACCATTTATTCTGTTAAATTTATTTTCCAGTTCTGTATTTACTACTAAATAAGTGGTAATAAGAACTATAATTTTGAAAACCAGAATTTCCGGTACCACATGAATGGAAAAATTACCAAACGAATGGTTTGAATACCATATATTTTTTTTATTAGAATTATTATTATTGTTTTATTAAAATTGTTAGTTTTATACAGTTCGGTAATTTTGGTAGAATTCTTTTTTTTACTAGAATTGTTATTGTTACACAGTTTGGTAATTTTAGCTGAATTTTTTCTGCGGCTCACAAAATTGCATTAAAAAATTATTTATATCGTAAATGCATTAAAAGTATTTTTTTTCAAAAATTATGCCATTGATAGATATTAATAATTTTTAAAACATTGTGTCATAAATATAATGAAAAAAATTTTTTTGAACAAATATTGATAGTACTTCAAAATTCAACTTTCTCAAAACAGAAGAATTTTTCAAAATGTAGGGAAGAGCGCTGTACCTTGTCACGAGCACAAAACCCTGCCAGCAATTGGCGACTAACAAAACTAACCTGACATAGTTGTTCCCTTAGCCACTAAGAGTTAGCGTAGAGTAGCTAGCAACTTTAAAGTGAGATTTGTGGCACCTAGAAAATAAAAGGGAAAAAATTAACTGGAAAGCAAATTATAATTATTTCATTTATTTCTTTTCCTATTTCTTACTAATTTATTTGTGTTAAAAATTCATATAGCGTAATAAACCTTTAATTGTGCTCTACTTAATGGTATGGTTAGTTAAACTGATTAACTAACATCAAAACAATTACACAGTCCATGTTTTTTTCAAGGTGTTGTACTACCTTAGGACTAAATTACAGTGGTACCTTAAGACTTTTCAAATTACAATACACAACGATTTTTTCCAGTAAATACATTGAAGAGCTTTAGTACTGAATTCCTGAATGTTATGGGGAAGTATTTTTATTGCAGGCATATTTAGAGACTTTTTTGTCTGACGAAGAAGATAAGAATATGTCCATGCAAGAATTAATAGGAGGACTGGAAGAAGAAATATGGACATATCAATTCATTATGATTTTGAATAAGGCGAAATTTAAAGAGGACGATTATATTCGCTTGTATGTACTATAGAATTCCTCATACGAGTCTTTCTATATTAAATGATAAGCTTAAAACAGATGTTTCTTATCAAGTTTAAGATATAGAAGTCGGTCTCTCACAAAGAGCCATAAAAAGTCAAGATAAACCAAAAAAAGTCAGATAAAAGATTATTTACTGAAGTTAATGGGCAATAATTCGTGGATGAAGTACGCATTAAGATAGTCCCAGAAATTCCCAGCGTCAGAGTGGCGCTATCCTTTTAGCGAGTCAAAATTTCTAAATTTTATCAATTGAATAACGTTTTATTAAGATAAGAATATCCTTGCAACCACCTCCCTTTCAAAACCTCTCTTTAAATATCAAGAGACCCAAAAATTAGTGGCTTTTTCATATTTTCAGGTCTAGATAAATCAGCGCCAAATCCCAACATCCCTGCTAGGGAAACCTACCAATGTAAACGATGCAAAACTCCAGCAAACAATATTTTCAATACATAATATGAATTAATAAAATGCCTTTTTATCTGAATAAGTCAAAGTCTCTTAAATTATCTAGCCTTTAAAGGCATATTATTACACATGTATGACGCAAAAATCTTTAAAAGAAGTAGACATTGTATATCAAATCTTATATATACCTTGTTAAAACAGCAGCGAACACTTACCTTTTAAGAAAGAAACTATATATGAAATAGTTACAGAAGAATTAGCATATAAATCACCTTCTTAGAAACAGGGTCTTCAGTGCGTCAGAAGCAATCAACCAAGTTCCCTATGAATTTATATGAATACATATGACTACATTTATGTAACCTGCATTTTTCATTCTTTGTACCCAAACCATAATATTTAAGCAAAAGTTAAGTTATATATTATATAAAATATGTAATATATTATATAAAACTGATTATTTTTAAGTTTTAAATATATAAACCATTTTTAAAAAGATATTTTGATTATATATTTCTTTCGGTACCAAGGTACAATACCCTACATTCCAAGGTACAACATGGTGTTGTACCTTGGTATACTTTACAAGGGTGTTAAAAATAATTTATTACTCCCTTATAAAATAACAAATTTTTAAGTGTTTATAGATTCTTTAAATAGTAAACAATAAGATATTACATACATTTCTATTATGATCTTTACCGAAGTAAAAATAAAAATATTTGTTTTCAAACTACCCCAAGATAGAATGCCCTCTTTTACATTTATGTTAGCTGTTTTTCTCATTCTTTTTTAAATCATTATACCCAAGCAATATATTTAAACAAAAATTAAGTTCAGCGTAAAACTGATTATTTATAAGTTTTAAATATATGAGCCATTTTTCAAAAAATATTTTGATTATATATTTCGTTCGGTACCAAGGTACAATACCCTACATTCAAAGGTACAACATGGTGTTGTACCTCGGTATACTTTACAAGGGTGTTAAAAATAATTTATTACTCCCTTATAAAATAACAAGTTTTTAATTTTAAGTGTTTATGGATTCCTTAAATAGTAAGCAATAAGATATTACATACATTTCTATTATGATCTTAACCGAAGTAGAAATAAAAATATTTGTTTTCAACTGCCCCAAGATATAATGCACTCTTTTACATATACGTAAGCTGTTTTTCTCATGCTTTTTTCAATCATTATACCCAAGCAATATATTTAAACAAAAATTAAGTTCAGGGTAAAACTGATTATTTATAAGTTTTAAATATATGAGCCATTTTTCAAAAAATATTTTGATTATATATTTCTTTCAGTACCAAGGTACAATTCCCTACGTTCAAAGGTACAACATGGTGTTGTACCTTGGTATACTGTACAAGGGTGTTAAAAATAATTTATTACTCCCTTATAAAATAACAAATTTTTAATTTTTGAGTGTTTATAGATTCTTTAAATTGTAAACAATAAGATATTACTTACATTTCTATTATGATCTTTACCGATGTAAAAATAAAAATATTTTTTTTCAAACTGCCCCAAGATACAATGCCCTGTTTTACATTTACGTAAGCTGTTTTTCTCATGTTTTTTTCAATCATTAAACCCAAGCAGTATATTTAAATAAAAATTAAGTTAAGCGTAAAACTGATTAATTAAAAATATTTTGATTGTATTTTTCTTTCAGTACCAAGGTACAATATAAAACAATCCAAGGTACAACATTGTTGTACCTTGGTATACTGTACAAGGGTGTTAAAAATAATTTATTACTCCTTTATAAAGTAACATATTTTTAATTTTCAAATGTTTATAGATTATTTAAATAGGAAGACTTTTAAGTAAGCTGCTTTTTCTTTTACTTACGTCCTTTACTTTTACGTAAGCTGCTTTTTCTCATGCTTTTTTCATTCATTATACCCAAGCAATATATATAAGCATAAAGCTGATTATTTATAAATTTTAAACATATAAATCTTTTAACAAATAAATCTGGTTTTCAGCGTTTATTAAGATAAAATGTAGCTGAAAAGTTAAAATTTATCTTTAAAAGCATCGAAAATAAAACACTAGTTACTAGTCGTTCAGTTTATTTTTTCCTTAAAATGAAGTACTGTCATATTTTCGATGTCACGTAGAAAACATTACAATAAACTGTCGACAAGAAATAACGACAGCGAACTCTAAAGCTCAAAACGATACCCATGATATTCTGGAGGAGCAAAATAAAATATTTCAGAATGGGCCTAACATAAAATTTTCATTTCTACATTTATTTTCTACATTCTTTTCTGATTTCTTTTAGCAATTGTCATTTAGTTCTATTTGAATTATGGAAGTCCAGGAAAAATAGTTTGTTGATATTTACTCGTGTATATTCAGCTCTATTTGTTGAGTCTAAATGTTGATATTCGAAATCCTAGAAATTTTGAAAAATATTATTCCTTTCTTTCCTGATCAAAGTTAATATCTGTAAAGCTAATATTAAATAAGAATTTTTTGACATTACTTGTATCTATGTTTTTGTTTATTATAAATAATGTAATTCTTAATTCTAGCAAAAAGTACACCAGTAAATATTGTAGATTAATGGAAGTAGTAAACAAAGTATTACTAGCAGTAAAAGTAGTAGTAAAAATGTAGAAGTAAAAGTAATACTGAAAGTAGATTAATAAAAGTAATGAAGTTAAGCATCAAAAAGGAACACCCAGAAATTTTGAAAAATATTATACCTTACCTACCAGTGTAGATAACTGTAATGCTTATGTAAAATTTAAATTTTTTGATGTTTTATGTAGCTATATTTTTGCTTAAGTAGTTTAATTTTAAATGTAAAAAAAAGATTAGTAAAAGTAGTAATAGAAGTACTGCTAGTAGTAAAAATACTAGTAGTAAAAGTAGTAATGCAAAGTATCAAAGTCCTAAAAATTCCGAAAGATACAAGTTTTAATCTATACTAGTTCAATGTTGACAACTGACTTTACGACTGTTGACGACTTTAAATTCAAACGAAAAAGTAGATTAGTAAAAGTAGTAGTAAAATTATATTAAAGGTAGTAGAAGAGGAAGAAAAGTAATAGTTTAAGTAGATTAATAAAAGTAGTGAAGTTATATTTAAGAAAAGAGCAAAATTACGAAAAATATTATTCCTTTTTAACCAGATCAATGTCGATAACTATAAAGAAAATACTAAATTTGAATTTTTTAATGTTTTATGTTGCTATAATTTTGCTTATAGCAACATAAAGTAGTAAGTAGTTTAATTTTAAATTTGAAAATAGTAGATAAGTAAAAATAGTAATAAAAGCACCACTAGTAGTACGAGTAATACTAAAAGTAGATTAGGATATGTAGTGAAGTATAATATTAAAAAGGAAAGGACAAATGTAAAGCTAATATTAAATTTGTATTTTTCGATGTCTTATGTAGATTTATTTTGTTGTAATTAATTTAATTTTAAATTAAAAAAAAGTACTTAATAAGTAAATCTATTAAAGTAATAAAAAATACTACTAGTAGTAAAAGTAGTAAATAGTTGTGAAAGTAGGAGTGAAAATATATAAATATATTAATAAAAGTAGTAAAGCATCAGAAAAGAGCAAAATCCTAGAAATTTTGAAAAATATTATTCCTTACTTATATGATCAACGTTGACAACTGTAAAGTTAATATTAATTTTTAATTTTTCGATATTTTATGTGCTTATACTTTTGTTTATTGTAAGTAATTTAATTTTAAATTCAAACGGAAAAGTAGATTAGTGCATAGATTTGTAAAAGTCATAATAAAGTAATGCCAGTTGTAAAAGTAGTGAAAAAGAAGTAAAAATAGTAGTAAAATAACAAAATTCTTAAAATGTGGAATTCTAGAAAATTTAATTACAGTAGGAAAAGTTTATTATACACGGTAGAAGGGCTACCTCACTCCTTTGAAGAGACTCGTGCCACTCTGAGCTTTTGACTTCAGTCAGTGACGTCACGGCGGCGCAACATCAACTTCTGGCTTTAATAATAAATTGTTTCGCATGCAACTAGCATCTTTTTTAAACTTATTTCCTTACATTCATTATTTTCTATATTTTTTATTTTTTTTGAGGTGATTTCCTTCTCATCTGATTACAAAAACTTAGCAGTAGTAGTCAAATATCAGCTTGCTCGATAGCGACCGGCCAGAATTATTATAAATCACAAAATGAGATCCATGTTTTATTTCAAAAAATAGAAAGGTGGCATCAAATGAACTATAAAATGTACTTAAAGAATTTCTCCTCCTGTGAATAAAAACTTTATGATCTATGTTTTTTGTTTAGATGTTTAAGAACTTTTTATTTCGTCATTGAAATCGATACCGTCTCGTAATTTTAAACAGAAAAGAAGAAGAAAATTTACAAGGTCAAATAAAATAAAATCCTGAACTTCAAAAATAAAAGTTATTAATGCTTAAAAATTCTTCCAAATTAATAATTCAGAAATTCCAATTGATTTATTCAGAAATTTCTTTTAAAAATTTTGTTTATTTATTAGGTATTTAAAATTTAAAAAAAAATGACGCAATCTATATTTTTTAAGATAACTATCTTACTCTTCTCAAATCATGAAGATTACATCTTAGTATTTAAAATCTTATCATCTGGTTAAAAGTTGTTCAGAGTGTAACGTTTTTTTATCAATTTATTTTATTATTTTTTATTATACATATTACTTTAAATTATTACATTGCACTGATAATTAACAGTAGAAGGACGGATGGGGTCTGCCACTTTTGTTTTTCGTTATTCTGTAATTCAAAAAAATAATTTGCCGACAGTGTTGAGTATTTCTGACTTTTCATAATTTGATCCAATAATAATTTAATCATTCTTTCGTTACCCCTTATAGAAACGAATAGATAGAACTTTATACTTAGAATAATGGAAAAAGTCAGACTGTCTCCTATTTTGGTAGGTATTCCATAACCCCAGGTAGGTTTAGAAATACGATATCCTCTGTTATCACGATTTCATTAAAATAATATAATTTCCACATATCTTTAATTAATACTTATAGAGAAAAAAAAACTATTATCTAGCAAACTAATGCATTCGTATAATTTAAAAGTCAATATGTTCTGTTTAATCAAATAATTTTGTTTACCAAATCGTATAAAAGGCCTTAGAATTTCGGTGATAAAGTCTTATAATATTATGATTAAGATTATATTTTAGGATTTCGGATGTCTAGTTGATATACACACTAACAATATGGTAAGGGCCACCCTAGCCCCTTCTATCTTTCTAAGTATACAACAACATTCGCTTTTTTTCAGGTGTAGATGCGAATAATCTTAAAAAAGGAAAATTAAATAAACTGTTGTACAAATAATAGTACTGCTTTTTATGTTTCAGAAACATGTGGTAATATCTATTGTTCATTTGGAGCCACTTGTTTTAAGGATAAACTTATTCAACGAACTCTCTGCCAGTGCAGTGATATTTGTCCCGATGTCCATAACCCAATTTGTGGTGGAGACGGCGTTACTTATGCAAGTGAGTGCCATTTACGACTTGCTGAATGCTTACAGCAGAAAACAATTGAAGTGCATCACCAAGGAGATTGTGGTAAGTCTACGACACTGTTGGAATTTTCATTCTGAAATTACGGTGAAATAACCGGCAGCAGTTTGTCCATTCAATTAACTGTAAGGTTAGTGCGAAGAACATTTTTACTTTTATGGTTTGTTTCAAAACCATAAACTAATAACTTTATAACTAATACGGCTATAAAATCCTGACTACAAAACTATACGTTTTTTTAAAAAAACTATTTACAGCTTGCATGGTTTCAAAACTATACAGAAGAACTTTAACAGGGCAGTAGAACTAAATTTTTCATTAGGTTGTGGGCCTAAGGTTTAGGTTCATTAGGTTTAGGTTGTCTTATTTAAATGTTGGTTCAATTCTAATTATTAAAAAAATAAAGTTAACTTCACTTCATATTCATGCAAATTTCCACATCTATCTTAATTTGAAGCTGGATGTGGAAATTAACCCTCTAACTTGTTCCTGCAATCAAAAAGACAAAAGATTTTAAATAAGGAATGATAGGAAAAACAATGCATTATTTGACTTTAAAACTCTTCCAGATAGCAGGCAACCTTACCGCAAGCGTTGTATTATGTTGTGACATATAAAGGTTTACTAATTAATCCATTTCAAACTTATTAGAGATATTAGTACGCCAAGTTTGCTTCCTTAAAGATTGAATAAAGGCATGCAAAAAATCTCCTTTTTTAGCTTTTACTATAAACCTTGTTTTTGCCTTTTTTCATTCTAGCTTTGTCCAATTTCCCAAATGCAAAATTTTGTTCATGTTAAAAACTTAATGATCAGGCCAACCTTCACTTTAAATATTAAAAAAGTATATAAAAGCCTGCGCACGTTTTTTCAGTGATAAATAAACCTTGAGGAGGTGAATTTATTCTCGGTTTTGAAAACACTTTCTGCTCTTGATTTGTAAATCATGATTCATCCTCGATTTACGAAGGTTTTTCTAGCCTTGTCTTATAAAGGCGTATTCAATCTTGATACAAAGGGTTGTTCAATGCAATTTTAATGCTAACTTCGGGTAAACTAGCATAGTTAAAATTAACATTGTTTCAAACTTTCATGGTTTAACTGCTATTCATTTTAAACCTTGTTGTACTTAATGATAAAGATTGTTACTGGCATTAAAATTATCCTTACACTGCTCTCTGAGCTGCATCTTAAAAGGAACAAATAAGGAGTGGGGCTAGTATAAAAATAAAACTTTCAAAATTCTTAAGGAAAATACTTCTTAAGAGGAATCTATGACTTTTTTTTGATGCCTGACCTAAAAACGAAAGATGTACCATATGACAAAGATACTTGAAGACTTGGTTGATGATTTTGCACCTTAATAAAGTGAACTCGTCAAAGCTAAGGAAGTTTGTTCTTGAGGATTCTTAGAGAGACAGTGAAGAATTCGTGAGGGAGTTCGTTCTTAAGGATTCTTACACAGTGAAAAAATTTTAAAAGCTGAGGGGTTAGTTAGAAGGATTCTTAGACTGTGAATAATTCGCAAAAGCTAATGAGTTTGCTAGAGAGGATTCTTAGACAGTGAATAATTCGTAAAAGCTAATGAATTTGTTAGAGAGGATTCTTAGACAGTGAATAATTCATGAAAGCTAATGAGTTTATTAGCGAGGATTCTCAGACAGTGAATAATTCGTAAAAGCTAAAGAGTTAGTTAGAAGGATTCTTAGACGGTGAATAATTTGTAAATCTAATGAGTTTGTTAGAGAGGATTCTTAGACAGTGAAGAATTCGTAAAAGCTAAGGGAGTTTGTTAGTGAGGATCACATTTTCTGCTTTATCTAAAGAGTATTTGTAATTCTTTAGAGTGCCTATAGACTTTCTACACAATGACTTTGAAATGTGCATAATAATTCTCATATTTCATAATTCATCTAACAACGCTAAGAATTTCGTAAAATTTCAGCATTTCTTGCATTGACAATAACACACTGAAAACTTAACACTCTCATGCATTGAAAATAACACACGCATGTCTTATATGAGCTAAATATTTTAATAAATTCATCTCGATTTAAAAATTATTTAATTACTAATTTTTAATAATCGAATTTCTACATGCAGACGGAACTGTTTACTACTTTTTGAAAAAACTTAAAAGCAAACCATTCTCTGCTTTCTTATCCATGCCAAATATCAGAATTCTAATATCGCCCAGTCCTAATTACAGCTTTAGTTTTTCGACTATAAATCTATTTTTTCAGCTTTTTCCCACTCATAGAAAAAGCAGAAAGCAATTTTCTTTGTCTTTTTCTAAGAGCTTTTAGCAGGACTGAATCCTTATCTGCATACACTGTTTCAATTGTTGCAACTGGTTGCTCTAATAATTAATTAATTTAATTATTATGGAACATTGCTTGGTATAATTTTTCAATATTATATTATATTTTCAACAAAATGTGTTTTTGTAATAGTTATATTTCTAATAACTGTAGTAATTTACTGAGTAAAAAAGGACATCTATTGAAACAGGCAAAGCGCTTCTACATATAAATTCATGATTTTCCACTCTGTAAAAAATTCCGTATCAAATTATGGTAAAATGTGCTGGTACTTTTTACGGAACAAAACCTGATGTACCGTATTTTTTTCAGTATTTATTGAAAAATCACTGTATCACTGAAGTTAAATAATTATTACTGTACAAGAGATAAAATGTTACGGTAAAAATGGATTTTACGGTAAAATTAACTATACAGATGATGCTTCCAATATGCCGGTAATTTTTACGGTAATTTGATCTACAATTTTTAACAGTGCCACTGTTAAATATCTCGTTTTTTTAAATTTCTTTTTATTTCTTCTTAAAACACAATATTTTTATTTTTATGCAACCTTTAAAAGAAAACTTCATTGCACATTTGAAAATTTTATATGCTTTTAAATACTCTTGCATCAACCTATGATTGCAAGATTATTGTTTTAAATAGCTTTTCCGTTTAAGAAACAAATTTTTCCAAATCATGTTTTTAAGATTTTAATGCAAATCATACATAAGCGTTTAATTGTGGGTTTGAGCATTCAATATCATCTCATACATTAAAAGGAAAATAATTTAAAATATTAAACATTTTTGAATAAATGAACATCCTGTCAGTTATGTATGTAAAAAAATCCCAAACTTAAGTTTGAAACATCTCTTTATTTGAAAAAAAAAAAATGGTTTCTCTAATCTTTTGTTTAAACTTTTTCATTTCAATAAACTGCATTTCTTTATAATTCTAAGCTTTAGAGATGAAAGCGAGATCATCAGTGCATGAAAATCCATCTTTTATGGTGATATGGTCTTTTGGGTTCATAAGAAACCGCGGTTGTCTGCGGCGGTCTATTGTTGGTCTCTATAGAAAATCGAATGAAAGAGATGTCATATCCACTTGGAAATTGCTTTCAACCGATTTCTATTCAGAAAATAAAAGAATCTTTAATACCGACAGATATTTATGATGTGAGAACATCACAAGTACCCATTGAGGAAAAAAATAAAGAAAGCTTTTTAAAAATAAATTCTTTAAAGTTGAAATATTTTATACCATCAGTCTATGTTTGAGTTTTGATGACTTGTTATGGATACTATGGTCTTCGGTGCTTATTTCGATGAATTTTGTTGCGTCCTTTATAGATTTATTCTTAATAGTCTTTAAAAAAATATTAAACCCAAAATGTTATTGTAATGTATAGCTTTTTTTAATATAAAAGGCAAAAAAGATTTTATAACACGGCTCTATTCCTATTTGCACCAAGCTTAAAAAAAGTGGTAAGTCCTCAAACGTTTGCTGATCTTTTAAGTACAGCAAACGTTTTGTAGTTACCGTGCCTTATAGTTATATTAACCTTGTCAAGATAGTTTTTTTTAACGACACAGTGCATAGATATTTTTTTAAAAATTATCTAGCAATTGTTGAAAAACATATTTGTGATCAAATTTATAAGAATTGAAATTGATTAAACATAATTGAAGCGTAAAAAATATTTTTTAATTAAATACAGACATACAGTAAAAAATGGTCAAAATTACCTGAATGTAGTAAAATTTACTGTGTTTCTTGATCTAAGATGGGAACACTGAAAACCTTGGTAATTTTTTCAGAAGTGCTTTGATAATGATTTCAGTAAAATTAATAATAAAGCATAGTTTTATTACTTATTCTACGATTTGGTTTAGATACGTTATGTTTTACAAGAAATTATATTACTTATGTGTTACAAGAATTATATTACTTTTAACCAGCAATGACCTTACACTACCCTACCCTACTATTATATTACTTTTAACCAGCATATAGTCTCCGTACAATAAAAATCTATTTTTACAATATTTTCAGAAATTTGCAATTTTATTTGTGAAACTTGACAAATAGGTAACTTTTTGCATTCAGGGCATGCAAAAATGAAAAATTATTTCTAATGCCCAGTCTCTGGTAAAGTATTAAATATGTAAATATTGATATAAATCATTTTTTGAAAATCTATTTTATTTATGGTGTACCACAGTTTACTTTTTTATACAATAATTAATTGTTATACAATGGGCGAGATGGATCCAAAACTGGTAATTGTATTGATCTTGTCACGATTTTTTTTTACCAGCACAGTGGAAAAGTTAGGATTGACAAAAATAATTATCTCATGTTTTGACAAATCAATTGTCAAAATTTATCTAATCCATCCGGAAATATTTGCTGCTATATAAAACATTTTCCAAGCATGTGGCAGAATAATCGTTTATTGAAAGAGTGTTGTTATTTTGTATCTGTTTTGAAAGGCAATATATTTTTTTAAGTTTGCATAGTGTAAGAAAATTTAATGAAACAAAAAAAAGTTCTATAATATAACCATTTCTTATTTTTTCGTAATGTAGGGTAAACTAACCAGTGAAGGGTAAACAGACAGTGTGTCCCCTGATGAAGTGCTGCTCTGTAAACACACAACTTTATTTAAATTTTATTTAAATTTTATTTAATTTTATTTAACTATTTTTGAGTAATTTTTATTTAAATTATTTTTGA